TTTCATTTTTTTTTTTTTTTTTTTTAATTGTAAGCTATCTAAAACAACATAATGAAGACTGATTTTTTTTTTTTTTAAAGTAATACTTCTTTACCCATACCTCTTTCATAGCTTTAATGATGTCTGGTTTTAGCAGTGCAGTGGAAGGAATGCTTTTATACCCACAAGATTTCAATGCATCTACAAATGTTCTTGCTGATTCTTGTTCTTCTTCCGTCAATTCATCCTTGTGATCATGCATTAAGTCATACAAATAGAGGGCTAATTTAGGTCCATGCTAGAGGAGAATAAGAAAGTAGTCAGTCATTCTCAATATTGGACAACAGAACCCTAAGCACTCACTTAAAAAGCTATATGTTTTTACTGAATTATTTTTTCTAGTGCAGGTCTTCTCTGCTAATTTTGGTGATATTTCTGGATTTTCCCACTCTTAATTTGCTGAAATCCCAAGAAATATGGAGAAAACTCATTTTTTGTATTAACAGACAAAAATCATGGGCAGAAAAGCCTCCAGAGTTTAACCCTTAAATAAAGGCAAATTTCCTAAGCATGGTTGAGGCCCTTGGAAAGCTAAATGAGAATTTCTTGTTATATTTGCAGTGTTCAGTTTCACTTCTTTCGGGCCTTGTGCTTATTTCAGGACATGGGTACCAGAGATCTCAAGTTTTATGTGCCCAAGATTTTGGCACTTGCACAACTGACCATAGTCAGAATTGAGAGGAAAAAAGTGTAAGTGAGTAAACTTTCTGTATTCAGCATAGGGGCTCCCAACCTAAGCCATCATTGCTGAATTAGTCTTCTCCCTGCATCCTTAAACTTTATTGGGATCTTATGTCCACACTGGAAACTTGCACATGATCAGAAATACATAAAAGTTTGTTGATCCTTGATGACCTTCCTTTACTTTAGAGACTCTCAGTTCTACTATGGCTCAGTACCTGGGATGTAGACATATTTCCTAAAAAACACCATTCTAAATGGATGTAATTTCAGATTCAACCTTCAGCCTGTTAATTATATTCAGTGAAACATCAAATATGGAAACTGTGACAATGTAGCCAAAGGAACTTTGCACTCTCATCAAACCTGGCAATGTAACGGTATTTCCATCCATAGGGAGTATACCACTAATTTCAAATTCCACTTTAAGAAAATCTTCAGAAGAGAGTTTAGAACGATACTGGTTGAAAACTTCTTTAAAAAAAAGTATAATTTAAATTACGGTTTTAGCATTCAGTTTAAGAATTCCAGTAAATTCAGTTCAAACACCAGCATAAGCTATCTTTATGCGTTTTCTTAGGCCATATCTATCTTGTCCCTTCTTTTTTCAGATTACCTTCAACACCCTTATCCAAATTCTACAATATTGAAATTAATAAACTCTCCTGTCAGTAATATCCTCATTTTCTGCAGAGACATATTTGAACATGAAACAGCAAAAAATAAAACAATTTTGTAACGTAAAACAGAAGTTTGTGTTCAAGAGTTACAAGGCTTTTTTATGTTCTGCTTACATGTAAAGTTGGACTCAGACAGTCTCGCAAAATCTCCTGGTGGTTTGTTTCACACACTATGTCCAAAGCTAGTTTTCTTTCCTGCAAGGGTCTTGCTGGGGACAAAACATTCACGAGGAGTCTTCCAAGTTGCGTACGGAACGTATCTTTACATGACCAGAGGACTCTCTTCCACTGGTGCCTGGGAGTGCTCATTCTGCTCGTACTCTAAACCAAGAAGAGATTTTTTTCCTCCCAGTAACAGGATTTTTTCTGATCATTTTATACAACAGCATAACATCAAAAGTTCAGTCAGAAGCTTCCAAAAGCAAAAAGAAACAGGAAAGAATACAGAAGATTTGGAAGAAAATGTGATTGAAGGAATAAGTTTCAAATTACTGACTATTCTACAAGTCAAGGGGACCCTTCAAAGGAGAAAGCTGGGATCTGTGCCAGTTATGGCAAAAACAACCTAAAACTGCCTTCCTTCTCTCCAAATATCAGAAATTCAGCTTGAGGATCAGGATGTTTCATTTAGTAAAGCATTAACCACCAAGGACACAAAAGGACCCAGTGAGGAGATTTTCATGCAGACAACTTAAAATAGTCAACCTTAACCATCAAAAACAAACATTATGAAAAATAAAGCCTCTGTAAAAAAAAAAAAATTTGAAAAGCAGACTTTTGTCATGGTGTTGGAAGAAACCAATTTTTCCAAGACCTCTGAAGATGT